TCCTAAAACTGGGGATGCAGCGAGCATGCTTCTGCTTCAGGGCCTATGCAAAAGGTTGCTTCTACGTAGTGTGATCCCTTATCTCCTTCAAGTTTTTGCGCTCTTCAAGTCCTTCCCAGACATCATCCTTATAAATACACATACTCCTTGGCATTCCTGTCCCCCTTTGCTTGCTTCATTTTTCTCTACAGCACTATCACCTTCTCATATCCTATAAGAGTAACATATGTTTGTCTCTTTGGTTCACTATTGTAACCTCTGAAAGTAGAACAACACCTGGCACATACTTGATATTCAACAAACATTTGTTAAAAATTATAAATTATATTTAAACATTTGTTAAAAATTATAAATTATATGAGAAATTATAAATTATATGTCAGTATCTTTCTACTACTTGTCATCATTACCATATTTCTATTTTATCTTACTTGAGAAGGCTATGATTTGGAGAAAAAAGATAGGCTTTGGATCCCTGGTTTCATCACTTTATAGTGTGTGTGTGTGTGTGTGTGTGTGTGTATGTGTATATGATGTTATTTAACCTCTCTAATCCACAGTTTCTCCATCTAAAAGGGAATGACAAAGGGGAGAATATAAGGATAACAGTTAGCATTAGGATTAGAAATAAGGTATTCAAGGGTATAATATATAACAGGTACTCCATAACTAGGAGCTATTATTATTATTCCTCCTCACTAGCTCTTCAGTTTCACACTGGCCTCCAGTCTTTCATATCCTTCATTTTCTTCCAATCAGATCACCCTTTCTAGCTATTCTGCTCATGACCCAATTGGATTCCAGTTCTTTCATTAGAGTCAGAATCCTAAATATTATTAATTCTCCCTCAGGTATCTCTACCAAACAGACATCTGCAAAGCACTGTATACCAGCCTGGGGTCTGGAATTGACCATCAAGGTTTGAAACCCAGAGATTCAATTCACAAACAAGGACAGTAACAATATAGAATTCTTGTTAGTATTAAATAGCTTCTTCAGGTATAGTTCTTCAAAGCTTCTTCAGTTTTCTAGTCATGTGTCTATCTGCCTCTCTACTCCCCACCCCAAACTCACTGCTTCCTGAAAAGTAAGATTACCTCCCACTCAAGGTCAATTTCTCTACCCATGCCCTAGATCTCACCCCTCCTACTGCTTCCAAATCACTGCCATCAATCACTATCCACCCCTCATCACTCACTCACACACACACATATATACATTCATCATTCTCATTCATTTTCTCCCAGGTGTGCACTGTCCCTCTCTTGCTCTCTTCCTCCCTCCTTCCTTTAATTTCTCCTCTCCTTTGGTTCCTTGCAGCCATGTGCAAGCATGCCCAAGATGCTCTTACTTTAAATTTTAAAAGAAACAAAATGAATAAATCAAACTTCCCTAAAGCCCCCGCATCTCCCTCTCTTCTTACACTTCCCTTTGGAGTCCTTTGTTGAAAACACTGTATCCCTCTCAATTAGCTACACTTTCAGCTGTCATTCACTCTTCAGCCTCCTCAATGCCATTACAATGTAGCTAACTGCTCCAGCTGAAGTTACATTAAGACATCTTAATCTCCAAGTCTCAGAGGCTTTATTCAGTCTTTATCTTACTTGTCCTTTTCAGAGGAGGATAGAGTGTTGACCAGTCTTAGTCCTTGAAATATTCTCCTCCCTCAGCTTCTGACAAATCCCTGTTTCCTTTTTTCATCTTTGGTCTGTCTGGCATAGATGGTTGGCTTCTTTTCAGTTGCTGGTCCCATCTACCTAGCAGTTCACAACATAATTGTGGGAATCATCTGAAATCTTCTCTTTCTCAATTCTATAATCTGATTAATCATCCTATCTCATTGATAATACTTCCTGAATCTCTCATCTATCCCCCCCACCCCCGACACACATCCCTCATCATCTCTCAGCTTTCTAACTGGTCTTCTAGTTTTGCCCCTCTCTAATCTAGCTTTCACTTCTATGCCAAAATGACAAGTGTAAAACACAAATCTCATTGTTTCACAGCATGTCTTTTCTTTTTCTTCTTCCTTTTCTTTTTCTTTCTTTTTTTTTTGTTTAACTAAATCCTCAGAGCCTTCAAGGTGAAGTTAAAATACTCAAACCTTATTCCCAAACAGTGATTTGGCATATTACTTCATTTGCCCCATTCTAAAGGTGTACTTTTCACATGCATACATGAATATAGCTAATACAAACTGAAATGTGTTGTAAGTATAAAACACAAACCAGATTCTGAAGATGTAGTATGAAAAAGGGAATGCCAAATATGTCTTTATCACTGTTCCATTTTGATTATATGTTGAAATTACAATGTTTTGATATATCAAGTTAAATTATATTGTAAAAATTCATTTTAACCTTTTAAAATCTGGTTACTAGGGGCGGGGTTGTGGCTCAGTGGTACAGCACTTGCCTAGCATGCATGAGGCACTGGGTTTGATCCCCAGCACCACATAAAAATAAAAACAAATAAAATAAAGGTATTATGTCCATCTAAAACTAAAATAATAATAATAATAAAATATGGTTACTAGAAATTTGAAGATTATATATGTGACATATTTGTGGCTTGTATTTCAAAAATGACAACACTGGTGTACAATGTATTTTCCCTCTTTCTGAACCTAATTAATTTATACATTATTCAAGATCGGCTCAGATAACCTCTAAATTTCAGGACATCCTCTGGCCACCAAGAATCCAAGTCTGTCAGCTACTCTCCTCCATGCTTCTATTCGTGAGAACCTATATAAAACACACCAAAATGTAATTATTGGTTATCAGCTATCTTCTCCTCCCAAACTCTAAACTCCTTGCAGATGAAATAAATAAATAAATAACACTGTACGGATATTCGGGTTCTACCACCATGCCTTGAACTTAAAAGGCACTCAAACATTTGTCAGAAAATGAGAACTACATATTCCTAACCTGGGAGTTAACAGAATTTCTAGTTCTCCAAGGAAAACCAACCAGCAGGGAAGGAGTCTAAAACTTACCAGGAGATCTAGTAATAAAAGGACTGGGGCATGGGGTGTAAGAAGTAGGAATCCTACTAAAGAAATCAGCAAATGACAAAGCTCATCACACACACCTGCCTCTTACAGTGAAACTAGGAATTTGCAACAGTGATATAGAGCCTTGAACCCACAGTCAGCATGCCAGGGGCTACAGTTTGATTCCTAAATTGTTTAGCAACCCATCCAACAAAAGACTATGATTTGGCAGGTTTCAACACAAACAGCTAGAGCCCAACACCTGTTCCATTTAAACAGCACATCATTACAGTTAAAAACAACAAATCTCTCTCATGAAGCAAATGCTAATCTCATGATGCTTCACCATGGAGCAATTTAGAAGAGTTATATTATATGAAATGTGCCAAAGCATGAATTTATGGCTGATGCTTATTTGGCAAATATGGTTGGCACTGCTAGATGTTGAAAAGCATGTATGCAAATAAGCAAATAAAAGTTTTTAAGCTCTTAGACTTAAATATTTACATTACCATAAATGTACAAAGATAAATGTTTATATGACTACACATATAATGCATTTCAGGAACACACTTTTTAATGTGATTGTTAGGAAACAGTTATGAAGTGGTATTATTTCTTTATGGGCCTCAGGCTAGGCTCTTAAAAAATGAATTCTGACAGAATGTTAATGGGGTACAAACATAATCCTGGAAATTTCTCTGCACTATCACTGGGCAAAATAAATAGTAATAGTATCATAATAGTTCAAAGCAATCTTATCTTTTCCTTTCACCAAAACACTTCTCTTCCAACCCTGGAAACCAGCCAAACATAAATGTTAGCCCCTAAATGGGGAGTTGGGAGGAGGAAGACCATGCATCAAAAAGCTTTAAAGAAAATAATCTGACATTTCTCCCCCACCATTTTATAGTCATGTTAATCTCCAAAACAAAGACATGATAAAATATTTTCTCCTCTTCCCCTTTGACATCTATGGGAAGGGGATGTTTGTTTTTTCACATAGTTTGTGAATTGGTCATAGCCAAAACTAACTAGCAATGGTATGAGTTCTCTTTCCATTATTAACTGTTAATCTCTGTGCTGAAGCTATTAACTTCCATCTTTGAAGCCAAAAGAAAATGTACCATACCTGCCGTTATAGTTTACTAAATGAGCCACCAAAGAGAAGAATTGCCAAGCACTTTGGCAAGTAATTAGGGTAGTCAGTGAAGTGAGCAATCTAGAAATGCTCTGAGATTAAAGTAGAAGCCATCATGAAATGAGTATCCAAGATTGCTCTTGGAAAGTTTTACCCTTGTGGATAATTGACTTTTTTTTTTTTTCACTTTTGCACTGCAGAGAGCTATACCTATTACTACATCACTTCGTTTATTGGGGGGGGGGGGGGGGGGAAAGAATGCTGTGGCTGAACAAAAATCTGTAGGTAGGCCCCAAAACAGAATCCTCAAAGCAATACCAATTCAGGTGAAAAGCTGTTCACGTACATCACCCAACGACCTAAAAATAGACTTTTATGTAAGCCTCCAAGTATTTAATTCAACATATAATCTTGCCACATTCAATAAAGGCAGAAGAAAAATCTATGCAGTTTTCTATAGTAAGGCCAATAAACATGAAATCATAGTTTTCCTCTAACTCATCACTATCCTTTCAACGCCAGTCTTCCAATAACTTCATTCCACAGCTCTGTTTCCTAAACTTGGTTCTCCCAAAACAAGGATTGCAGAAGTAACATTTAAAGGAAGGGAGCCTCTCTCTCCTGTTGCTGTCAGCAGTCTTTAGTCAAAGGAGGCAAAGAAGGAAAAAAACAAAATCAAGCACTCGGACCGATGGTGCACAGGATAGGGAAAGGGAAACGGGATGGACGCGGTTCAGACAGCAAGTCCTCTTTTAAGGAGAAAAGTTGCATGAACCAATGAGTCGAAGGGCAAAGAAGAAACAAATTTACCAACCGAACCACTGAACCCTCTCTCAGCAAGCCTTCATGAAAGGGGCTCACCAGCTACAGCGTGAAGTGAGCAGACAGAAAGCCACCAGGTCCCGACGCTGCTGGCGAGGCTAAGCCGGATCCTCCCGGGTTTGGGAGCGGGACGATGGTGTAGACTTCGCAGGAGCGAGAGAAGCTCTTCCTGCCCCAGCCTCACCGAGTCCAGCTCCTCCAGGCTTCACTTTCCCCGGCAGCTTCCCAGCCGCGCCCGGGGGCGTCCGTCACCAGGTCCCAACTTTCCCTCCTCTGGGGGGCGCCGCGCTACCGGGGCCGCCGCCGCCACAGCTAAGGGAGGGGGCTGGGATGGCGGGGGGCGCGAGGGGGCGCGCGGCGCCGGCGGGGCGCGGGGGTGGCCGGGTCTTGAGAGCCCGCGCCCGGCAGGACGCACCGGCCTCCGGAGCCCCCACGGCGCCGCCCTGCCTGCATTCCCCCAGATCAGCACCCTCACCCCGCAACGACCCCGACCCCACCAACCCGAGCGTGAGGAGAAGGAAACCGAGGGGACGCGGGCAGCCCTGCCCCCGTTACCTGAGGGTCGCACACGCCGCTGCGGTGACCACCATTGCCGCCTGTCCCGTCCCCTTCCTGGTGATCGCGACCGTCGCCTCCGAGCAACTGACACTGACTAACAACAACTAACTAACTACTCGCCGTCGCCGAGTCCACCGCGCGCTCCCGGCCGCTTGCCGTCCGACCAGCCCACCAGCCTGCCCGCTCCTCCCAGCCCCGCGCGCCACCCTGCCGCGCGCACCCTTGCCCGCTGCGCTCCTCGAGGAGCGAGCACGCGCACGCGCACGCGCATGCGGGTCCAACTCGCTCCCAATTCTCTCCTCAGTCTCGTGGGAGGAGTCGCCTCGAGGCCCTGCCCCTCTGCGTTCCAACCTCCCAGGGCGAGACGTACCGGGCGCCTGATTGGCTGAGGAAGGTGTGGCCAAAGAAAGAAGGCAGGACGACTGGGACCTTGAGACGCGTGACAGGAAATTTGGGTTCAATTAAATGGTAAAGAAAAAGGGCAACGAAGTTTTAACCCATTGGGGTGTCGGATCCCCCTAGCTCACCAAGTCGTCTAATAGAGACTATGTGATTTCAAGGACTCCAGTACACAGTAATTACCAGTTTAATTCCCACTACCTATTAATAAAAAAACTTCATTTCCCATGAAGCTCCGCGAGTCTCACCTTACGTAATTACGTAGGCTTTCGCCGCACTGGAACAAAATAATCCCTTCATTTTTCTGAAGGTATCAGGAATAATATTTCACTTTTCTCCTTACCGGAACAATTTTAAATGTTACCACGTTAGGAGACGTTACCTATAAGGCGGTTTTTAAGCGATTAGGTAAAGAGAAATAAAGGATGACAAAATAAAGTGCTGCGGAGGAATTTCTGTCAAGCTCTGAAACGACGGAGTGCGAAGAGTGAAGGCGATTGAGAGGGGCTGAGGGAATTGTCCTCTGTGCAAGGGACTTTCATTAGGCCCCAGCCCCTGCCTGCCCCTATCATCAGCAGGTCAGTAAGCAAGGCGAGCTTGGGGGTGGCTACAGTCGAGATGTCCTTTGCCCCTTGACGATCATCCCGCTTTTGCTGCTGTTATTGATTTATCTTGTTTTAAGGTTAACAGAATGGGGGCCTTACTTCCGGTTGGGGGAGGGGAGGAATGCTGTCATGGGGGAGGGGGAACATTACACTTCCTGTGAGAGTAGGATGGTGGTTTAGGGGTGTCCAACCCACTTCCCGTGCTGGTGAGGGCCTGGAAAGGTGGTGCTTGGTATTATTTGCAGAGATGTTATTTTAGAGCTTTGGGATTGTGTGTTATGTCAAAGTTAGGTTATTACACCAAGTTGTGCTGATCATCAGCCTCCAGGCAGAATTTTTGTGTTTGGTTTCCACTTGTAAGATGGAAAATTACCTCCCCAACAAAAGTTTCTTCAAAGAATTCGAAACCCCTTGTTAAAATTCTGTTACCCGATGGACATACTCTTTTGTGTGACTCATGCATTGCCCACCCCTGCTTCCCTACTCAAGTTCAACCTTGACTGAGTGAGATACAGTGTTCTCTGCCATAACCATGCAACAGAAACTCCGTATATATTCCTTGAAGGAGGTTTACCAAAGAACTGAATATCTCACAGTATGGGACATTTTCATTTTAGCGGGGGGGAAGTATACTGAAGTACTCAAATTTGATGTTACTTAAATTGACATAATTGGTATCTTTCGTTCTTAGACCTGTTGGTTTGGGGCTACAGGTTTTGCCCTGTGCCTGAGAACAACTTCCTCAGCCTTAAAAATTCTATGAGCCAGTGTGATGACTCTCCTGAAATCCCAAGGACTCAGGAAGCTGAGGCAGAAGGATCAAAAGTTCAAAGCCAGCTTCAACAACTTAGTGAGGCCCTAAACAACTTGGTGAGACCCTGACTCCAAATAAAATATTAAAAGGACTGGGGATGTGGCTCAGCGTCTAAGTGTCCCTGGGTTCAATCCCCAGTACAAAAAAAAAAAAAAAATATGTAGTTTAAATGTAGTTGCTGTGAAAGTTGTATTTTAATACAGTTTTCCCTTTGTGATTTAAAAAAATTTGGCACTGATTTAAGAAATGATACCTATTCTTTGCAATTTTAAAGCATGTTGAAATGGTCATGACCTCAGCTTACATTTTAAGGAGAAAATGGCTCACAAAAGATAAAAGACGAATAAGAAAAAACTATTTGCCTATATTCTCTATTGTATATAATAAACTATATAGGAGGTGATAATGAACACCCAACAATTTTGATTCCTTGACTTCTCTTGTCAAGTACCAATACTTGATGTATGTACTGGAAGGTACCAGTCTTTTTGGAGCTTGCTTTGTGAAATCACAGCACTTCTTTGGTATTTTAGGACATCTGTGAAGAAAACCTAGAACTGTAATGCCTTTCAAGAATTTTTAAAATAATAAGGCCAATGTGTTTTTTTTCCTTTGGGATTGTTACACAGTAACCACAAATATTGCAATTATTTGAATTCTAGTTCTTTTAAAAAGCTATTTGGTTTGGAGTTGGTTAGAAAATGTTTTAAATTAAATGTGGAAATTAAAATATTTTAACCCACAGACTTTTTTTTAAAGTCAGTTTGATAGGCTCAGAATACCAGGTATAGTAAGTAGCACACACCTTTAATCCCAGCTACTTGGGATGCTCTGAAAGGAAGATTACAAGTTTGAGACCAGCCTGATCAATTTAGGCAGATGCCATCTCAAAGGGAAGTGGAGTGCTGGAGATGTAATAGCTTAGTGTTAGAACACCCTTGGGTTTAATCCCCGGTACCACAAAAAAAATTAATTAAACTAAAAATAGTAAAGGATAGGGTTTTAGCTCATTGATTGAGCACTTGCTTAGCACAGGAGGCCCTGAGTTCAATTCCCAGCCCTGAGTTCAATTCATATATATATATTTTATATATGTATATATATATATATATATATATATATATATATATATATATATGGCTTTGTTTTTTTAAAATAGATCTGAAAGGACTATTGTGGTGTTGTGGCTTAGTGGTAGAGCACTCACCTAGCACACGTGAGGCACTGGGTTCGATCCTCAGCATCATGTAAAAATGAAATAAAGATAGTGTGTGTCCACCTACCACTAAAAAATAAATATTTTTTAAAAATAGGTCTGAAGGGCTGGGGTTGTGGCTCAGTGATAGAGCGCTAGTCTTGCATGTGTGAGGCACTGGGTTCAATCCTCAGCACCACATAAAGATAAATAAATAGGGCTGGGGATGTGGCTCAAGCGGTGGCGCGCTCCCCTGGCATGCATGCGGCCCGGGTTGGATCCTCAGCACCACATACAAACAATGATGTTGTGTCCGCCAAAAACTGAAAAATAAATATTGAAATTCTCTCTCTTCTCTCTCTCTCTCTCTCTCTCTCTCTCTCTCTCTGTCTCTCTCTTTAAAAAAAAAGATAGATAAATAAAGGTAATGTGTCCATATAATTTAAAAATTAAAAAAAAAATACATCTGAGGCCCTAAAATCAAGTATCTTTTGAAAGACCACACAATTGCAGTGATTGAAAAGGCAAGGCAAAATAATGTCTGTTATTACTAAAAGATGGTTAGAGGTGTGTAGACTGCCCCTAGTATGTATTGATTCATTAGAAATCATTCCCTGTCTTCTATATTAGTGTAATATAGAAGAAAACATAGTCACCCTGACAAAATAAACTATAATAATCAGAATTCTTGAAGTGTGGAAAGATTGTAGAACTAAATGAAAAAGAGAAAATGATGTTAAAATATTGATTGAGATGCTCTAGTACTGCCTTTTGGAAATGTCTTTGGAAAGCAAAGGAGTTTATTAAATTGGTTCTCATGATTTTCCATGGAAGAAATGCGGTAGAATAGAAAGAAGAAAAATTACTGCAGCTGAAAGACTTAAGTGGCTTGAAGTACTACTGAATGTTAAGAAGAAAGCCATATATAAAGTACATATCTGGAAGAAGATGTTTTGTGATAAGTGACAGTTACTCATGGGTTCTTCAAAGAAGAAATATTAGAAAAGCTTGTGAAAAATAGGGAAAGTCTATGGAACCCGTTTGTATTCTTTTTACAAAGGTGTTTCTGTGAAGAGGCTTGCTGTCTTCCAGAGGTGTGTTGTTGTTTCTTACTGTCCTTTGCAGCATTTTCATTGCACCTTCCCTTAGAAACAGAGTGTCAAATCAGATTTTTGTAAGTATACTCTGTTATTTCTTTGAGTTAATGAATTAGAGATTTTCATTCTGTGACTTCTCATCTATAATAAAGAAATTATTGATATTTTTTAGGGCACTTAAATTAGATAACCATTGTCTTTTCCAAAAGCAGTCATTGGATACACTGTTGAGAGCAGTTAGAAGTCTTAAAACTCTAGATTCCATCTCACTGAAATTTGATTATCTGCAGAGAACTTATACATAATACAAAAGTGTCTTCTCATTGTTCTGTCTGCCTACTCTGTAAAATCATGCTAATATTTTACATCTTACTGCTTTCTCACTTGATGTTTTGGTAACAATTAGTTTTTTGTTTGGGCCATGGAGTTGAGAGAGTTAAAGGGAGTATCTTAACAACCTTAATGTTTCTCCCTACCCCCACCCCTGTGCCACACTAGGAATTGAACCCAGAGGCATTTTACCGCTATGCTACAACCCCAGCTCTTTTTATTTTTTATTTCAGCCAGGGTCTTGCTAAGTTTGGCCTCAAACTTATATTCCTCCTCCCTCGG